TTATTATTAATTTATTTCTTTTTTTATTTAAAATTATGTATAATTTATTATAATAAAAGATATGATATTTATCTTATAGGTGGGCTAGTATCTGAAAGGTGTATCAGATGAAAATGTGTGTAGAAAATTTTAGTTTGCAATAAAATTCTTTATCTGCAATGGTTTCATTTTATGCAAGTACAATAAAATCTAATTATACGATAGCTATAGCCTATTATCTTAGCATTATAGCGGCTCATTCTAAATTAGAAGAAAGATTAAATTATTATAATGCCTTTAAAATTTCTTGTGATATTAATGAAGATCAATAGCATATTTGTTTTAACTTTGATAAGGCCTTAGAAGTATTTAGCATAAGGTTCATTAAAGCAAAATATTTCTAAAAATGTAATTGATGAGAAGAATCTTAAAGATCAGAGAAAGTCTTCTCAAGACGAAAGAAAAAGGATAAACTTATTAATGAGTAAGTACCTTAATAATTATACAATTTTATATAGTAAATGGGCTATAAAATCATATAAGAAATCTTTATAAGAGCTTGTAGATAATCTTGTAATGGTTTTTGAAATGTTAGACTCCTTATCACACTAACTATTCTAAGAATATACACCTACAGAAATGCATAATAAAAGGTTTAATAAGTTGCTTAATTGTTATTTAGATGATTTAAAATGAATCAAAGCAATATACTGATAAGAAGTTCTAGAGAAAGAAAATAGAAATCCACAAAGAAAAAGGATGCTAGGAGTTGTTAGAATGAAAGTAAAAGATTATAATAATAAAAAAAAGAAAAATAGTAATTTTAGAACTTGCACAACTAGTAATAAAGAATTTAAATGAAATTCTACTTATTACTAAATTACAATCTAAATAAAAAAATAACAAGTACTAGACATTGAATTACTGAAATAAAATAGTTATTCTTTATACATTAAAAGTATACAAAAATTATCTTTCAGATGATGCTGTTGCTTCCATTTGTAAAAAATTATCAGAAATTTGAACTATAAAAATGATGCAAGAATGGTGAAATTATTATAAGGATAAGTGAATTTTAATAGAATTATTATTAGGATAAATATTATTTTTAATAATAATAAAAGTACAATTAACAAGTAGTGATAAATAAATAGTTTGCACTTCTAAAATAATTATTAATTATTGAATTTGTTAATAATATAAAGAACATAAATGTAATTTATTTAAGTTAACTAATCGATAAATTAAAAATTGATTATTTGTTTTAAAAATTACTATTTTAATCACTTTTTTACGTCTAAATATTTTGATTGCGCTTAAATAAATATACATAATTATACATTTGTAAAGAATTTAAAAATTATAAATTTGTATCTCAAGATTAAAGTCAAAAAAGTAAGAAAAAATTGATCATATATAAAGTTTTTGTGTAAGTATTATACTATAAAAAAAGCTGTTAAAATAAATAGCCAGAAACCTTTAAATTAAAAAGTTCTTTAGGTTCTTTAGTTTATTACTTGATCTAATAACATGATATATTAGACCGAATATTAATATTACACAAAATTTAAATTAGTGATCAATATGAGATTTACCATATCCTGACATGATTAGTGATTGATAAATAAATTTACTAATAATAAATATATTTTATAATATATATAATAAATATAATAAATAAAATAATTATAATAATTCTATTTATTTAATCTTAATTAATTATTATCCTTTAATTGTAAAGTAGAAAATTTACATATTAATATAAAAAAGTATTAATTTTTTAATAAAATATAAAATATTAATGTTAAAAATATAATTATTATATAAAAATATAGTTTAAAATATATTTTATTAACTTTATTAAAAGAAATTTTAAGTTCATTAAGAAGTTTTTTTAAATAATTCAATTTTTAAAATAAATTTTAAATATTTAATTTATAAGTAACTTAATATTTATAAAAAAAAAAATTTTTTAAAATTTTAATTTTCAATTTTTATGAAAATAAATCAAAAGAAAATTTATAGTAAATAAGCAAATAAATTTGTTTATAAAATTCTATAGTTTAAGGAATAATAAAAAAAATATATATGAATTAATTAAATTGAAGAGCTAGTTTATCTTTATTAGGATTTGATTTTAAAGAAATATAAATAAAATAAATATAAGTTTTATATTGATTTAGATAATATTTGATTTATTATAATTATATTAACTTCTACCTTTTTACTAAATAACAATATAAGATATTTATATAAATTATAAGAATAATAAAAAAATTAAATATAATAAAGAAAATAAATATAACTATAATAACTAATATAACTAATATAATAAAGATAATAAAGAAAATAAATATATATATAAAAATAATTCATAGTTTTTCTTTCTTGCAAATCACTAATTATAGAGTAATTTATTGATTAAATTTTAAGTATATTAATATCAAGACATCAAATTAACTAAAATATATATAATCCTTTTTATATTTTAGACTAATTAAAATATATTTATTTACTTTTTTAACTTGTTATATTTGTTAGCTTAATTATGTAATAAATCTTTTTATTGATTTTCAAATAATATTAATTCTACAATTAATATTTAATAAATATTTTAAAATAAATTTACTTTTTGCAATATTAGATATAATATCAAATTGAATAAGATTTGAATATTCTGATATATTAAACTACTATTTATTAAGCTAATTAATAGTATAAAGAATAAAGAATATAGGTTAATTGCTAAAAAAATAAGATTCTGAAAATGATTTTAACAAAATTTCAATTTTTATTACATTTTAGATTTTTAGATTAAAATGCATTAAATTCTTAATTTTTTAAAATTTGATTATTTAGAAACCTTTCTGTATATGTATAGCATTAAGTATAAAGTATAAAATCATAAGTTATAAAATGACTGAAACATATAATCTATATTTGAAAATAGAGCTAATTTAAATTTTTAATAAGTATGATTATAAAAAATTATTTGGAAAATTAAACTTTACCAAATAAAGTTAGCATATAAATAATAAATTTTATAATAAATTTTTAACTAAATGAATAAAAATACTTAGTTATTTAAGTTAAATAATTAAAATCCTTCATATTCATCTGTTAAAAAAGTATTTCATGTGATTAAAAGGTATTTTAAAATTCAAGCTTTATTATTATTTATTAGTCAAACTTACCATGGTTTCCTAAACTCAAAAGTATCTTACACATTTTAAGTTACACAATCAATTTTTTTTTGTCTAATAAATTTCTCTACCTAATAAATTTACATATTTAAATACTAGATGACGTGATTTAAATATACTGTATAGTAAAAAAAATGTGAAGATTTTTATAAGAACCTCAATAAAATACTAATGAAAATCAAAAGAATATTGAGAGTTATTGAAATAAATATCAAAGCGTTGTATATTATTATAGACTTTAGGTACAAAATCTATAAAAAAAAAATTAATTAATCTTAAGTTTATGTAGATTTAAAAATAATATACATAGATGTATACCTGAATTATTAATTGCGATAAATCTTGTAGTATAAATTTATACCAATAACTGTGTTCAGTAAACTCATTTGTAATATTATTCCAATTTCCATATTGAAGTTTTATGGATTCAACGTCAATGATAAATCCAAGCGTGCATTTAACTCGATTTAAACCTGGGGGCAGATTACGTACTATTATACATGCACACATGAAATTAATTGTCCAAGAACAAAAAAGGATTATAATGCTAAAAACAATAAAGAAAATCGATAATAAGGATAATTATTAAATTGAATATATAAAATAATTTAAATTTCATAATTAATTTTTATTTACCTTGCAACAAAAATAGCATAAATATCACAACTATATTTTGCAATAAACCATACATCGAATATAATATCTACTGTTGCCAAAGAAGTTTTAAACGCTATAAAATTTTGTTCACGATTCTATATAATTTATTAAAGAATTAATTTTATAATATTGTTTTACTGAAAAAAAGTTCAATAATTGTTTAATTACCCCCCAAATCTCGAGACTATATGCACAAATGTGAAGGATTAAGACAATAATAAAAAAAGCTGCGAAAAAGCCGACTTCAACTTCATAACTTCCAGAAAAAGATTCTAATAATAAAATAAAGTAAATAAATTTTAATTTTTTTAAAAATTATCTCGTTAAATTAACTTACTTCCGGTAGCACTACCAAAATTTTCATCAAGCATATTACTTGATTCAAAACGAGATATTCCTGTAATATCTTTATTTTTAATCAGGGTATCCAAGTCCTTGATAATCGTTCTTCCATTTAATTTAAATGGATCATCTCGTTGTCGAATCCTAATAGAAATAAGAACTTTATTACACCGATCATGATTTTGAGTTTCTTGAATTGGAATGAATCGCGTTGGTTCTATCGGAATAGTTTTTGTTAAATCTATTGACATTTGATTTAAAAATGCGACTTTATCCTTCTTAGTTAAATTCTTGAAATAAATAGAAGCGTCTTCTGTTAGTCCAAGAACAACTTCAAGAGAATCTGGGTATTCCTCCAACTTAATTTCTTTCAAAATTATTAACATTTTTCAGATTAATTAAATAAGCCATAAAATATCTTAAATAAATACGTGATCATAAATTCGTGTTACCAGTAGTGAAATTCCAATCTCCTGCCTGTAGTCCTAAAGGAGCTAGCCGAGTTAGCTTATCCACAAAAAATTCGTGGGAAAGTTCCACAGTATACGTTGCGCTTGGTATATTGAAATTCGAATCAAGCATTTTGATAGTAACCGATTTATGGTCATCTCCAAGAATGCAATTTGGATGTAATCCGGGATGACTTTGTTTCAAAACCAATTCTGAATCTTGATATTGAAAGATCGTAATGTTTCCATTCGATAAAACGATCTCGTTTTTGAAAAAAATTGTAATGCTTGCTTTTCTTAGAGGAATTTTATCATTATTTGGAGGATCTGTGGAAATAATGTTCGGATTCTTATACGGTTCTAATTAAAAAAAAATAAAAAAAATGAGGATTGAAAACTTAATATTATCATTGTATGCAAATAACAATATTTCAATAAATAGTTACCCGATTCAACAAAATTCGGTAAAGTTTTTGATTCTATTGACCAAGTTGAATCGTTTAAGTTTTGATTAAGCGTGACCAAAGTATTATTTGTAAACAACACTCCGTTACGTCTTCCTAAGGCTGGTTTTTCTATTGGATTACCAAATGGCCAAGGTCCATGTAGGTTTGCCGACATATCAAATATGTAACCATTCAGTTCTTCAACTTGATCGTTGAGCTCATTGTATCGATGGAGGATTAAGAGATATCCTAAAATGATTAAACTTTGAAATTAAGTTAAATGAAATAAGTAAATAAAACGTAATTTTATCATAAACTTACCTCCATAATACAAACTCTCCATATATATTTCGTGTACGTCCAGCGAGTTTATTTTATTCTATAAAAGAAAATAAAAGTAAGATTTACGTTTACTTATATTGGCATACCACATTTGTCCTTACATTTTCGTAAGTTTGGTCAAATGTTTTTGAACTAATAAATTTATTAATAAACGAAAAATACATTAATTCTTTTTATTTTTAGGAAAAAAAGTAAAGAAATTTAATCAAATCCCAAATACCCGTCAACCGTGAACGTGATTTTCGTAAGAAAATGGCTTCTTTCGGTAAGATTAGTCCTCACCACTAGG